GATGGGGCGGGTGCTCGCGGCTGGGGCTTTCTCTCCTTTCAGTACATTTTGTATTTCACAATTCCACCATGTGGTTATGAAGATAGGCTTTTTCTATCAAAAAGGAGCAGATAAAAGCCCATCACAGCGATGAGAAAATATGTATTCTTCTCCCCAGATAAGGGGCGGGAGGAGGAAATCAGTCCCGTTGTAGTGGTGCAAAGCCTTTGCAGGGGCCTTGGAAATTAAACTCATTACTTAGAGATTTCACACAGCAGATTGCAAGGGCTCCAGCCCTTTCTGCTTGGATGCTACAAAGCTTTCTAGAGACGGGTTTTGACGGAGAGTCCAAATTAAGCCACTGAGGAGTAACTGCGTATCTCCTGAAGCAGGGAGCTGGTATTTAGGTCTTGGCTTTAAAAAAAAAAAAAAAAGTGATTAATTTACTCAATGGCACATGAAAGCATAAAGGGCACGTTGCTGGTGTCGCAGGGAGCGACTGGCCACCGTCGCTCCCTTTGTGCGGTTTCGATTCCCGGGTGGGTCGGCGCTGCAGAAGGCCGCGTCGACGTTCCCGTCTGTCCCGTGGACACGCTCCCTGAGGTTGGGCGCCGTTGCCTGAGCTCTTCTGCACCCGCTGTTGATGCCTGGTGGCTTTTTGAGGTCCGGCCTGGGCAGTGTGGCCAGTGCTGCCCCGGGGGCTCGCAGCCGCTGGAGTTAAAAGAGGCTTTGCAGGATGCAACCCACAGTCCACAAGCAGCTTGGATCAGATCATTAACTGCCCCCTCTCCCTGCTGAGCCAATTATTTGCAGAGCATACAGGGGACCTAAAGAAGCCTCCCTCTTTGCCAGCGCCTGGAAGGGCCCTTGGAGAGGACACTGGGTTTTGCATTTTGCCAGCATGGCTTTAAGGCCCTTTCCCGTCCTCTCCCTGCACTTCCCCCAGACGAAGCCATTGGAAATAGCACGAAAGAGCCAAGTGCTGCAATGCCCGGTTGGCCGATAGCAGAACTTAATGAAGAGAGCCGTCTGCCCGGGTATTTGGGAGTATCCCATCGACACCGTCCATCTGGCTCCCAGGTGCATTTGGTGTGGGGTGCTGGCTGGGCGGGTGGTAGCTCAAGAAGTGTTGAGGTTCAGCCAGGACAAGTGCAAAGTCCTGCACTTAGGACCAAGCAATCGCATGCACCGGTGCAGGCTGGGGGCTGACTGGCTGGGCAGCAGCTCTGCAGAAAGGGACCTGGGGGGACAGGGGACAGTAAGATGGATAGGGGCCGGCAGTGTGCCCTTGGTGCCAAGAAGGCTAACAGCATCCTGGGCTGCATTGGTAGGAGCCTTGTCGCAGATCAAGGGCAGTGATTCTTCCCCTCTATTCAGTGCTAGTGTGGTCACATCTGGAGTCCTGCATCCAGCTGTGGGCCCCACTGCAGAAAGGATGTGGACACATTGGAGAGAGTCCAGTGGAGGGCAATGGAAATGTTTCAGGAGCTGGGGGACAGGACTGGTGCGGAGAGGATGAAGGAACTGGGCTGATTTAGTCTGGAGAAGAGCAGACCGAGGGGGATTGAATAGCAGCCTTCGCCTCCCCGCCGGGGGGCTGCAAAGAGGGTGGAGCTGGGCTGTTCTCAGTGGGGGCAGATGGCAGGACAAGGAGCAATGGGCTCCGGTGGCAGCAAGGGAAGTTGAGGTTGGATATTAGGAGAAACTTTCTCACTAGGAGGGTGGTGAAGCACTGGACCAGGTTCCCCAGAGAGGTGGTGGAGTCTCCATCCTTGGAGGTTTTGAAGACCCGGGTAGATAAAGCCTTGTCTGGGATGCTGTTGGTCCTGCTTGGAGCAGGGGGTTGCACTAGATGTGACCTCCTGAGCTCCCTCCCAGCCTCACTGTCCATGATATGAAGTGGAGTGAAAGTGCCTGAGGCTGCACAAGGTCGGTGCCATCGTCACCAAGCACGATGCAGCGGAGCCGAGCCAGCGTGCGAGCGAATGCCCGCTGTCCTGTGCCGGGCCCCGTGCAGACCCACCCAGGAAGGGGAGTCCTAGTGTGGTTTTGAGTATTCCCCCACGCTGCAGGGAGAGCACGACTGAGGGTCATGCCCTTACCCGTGCTGTGCCGCCTTCTTCACCGACGGGTGTATCAGCAGGACCAACTGCTAGCATTGCTTGCACCCGTGATGGGCTTCTCCATGTCCCAAGCTAGCAGCTGGCAGGCTGACCGCCTGGGAAGAGTTTCACTTAAGATCTTTTAATAAACCAGGCAGTTGCTGCTAGCAGCGTTTGCTGAGAGTCATCACAAGTGCCCACCGCCCTGCCTTCCCCCTAATCGAAAACAGCTATGTCAATGCGAATGCTCCGGTGCAAAAAGCAGCTTGTAGATGTCCACCGCTGACGGTCTCGGTCCCGGGCGCTGCGAACGCTTCAGTCTGGCGGTGACGAGCAAACCCTTTCGCTGGCCCTGGCACGCTACGCACATTTCTCGGCGCTGCCGGTGATGAAGTCATTTCTCTCCCCTCTGTCAAAGGTGTGCAGTGCAGGAGGTTTCTGCTCCTCGCCTCTTGGCTGTCTCTGGAGCCGGAGGAGCGTATAGAGCTGCAAAATCAACGACGCTGCCTAGGTGCCTTGAATTGGACGGCACGCTCTTGCCGCGCAGCCCTGCCTCGCTGGCTGCTGTCGGAGGTGTCGGGTTTGATAAATGAGCTGGTTTATAAATGCAGATTTGATTGGTGGCGACGGGATTTATTCCACGGAGCCGGAAATTGGGCCATGCTTCAGGGGGACGGCGCGAGACGGCAGGGTTGGAAGCATCCCCCCCCTTTGTAAACCAGGGCGCTCGTAGCGTGCTCTGGGGGGCTTGGGGTCCCGCTGCGGGGTGTGACCATGACAGGTCTTCTTACTGTCTGCTCAGCCCCCCAGGAAAGGACACTGGGTCAGTTGGGGAGCGATCGAACCATCTTGTTGGTGTCCCTCGCCCCGGTCAGCCCCGGTGTCATCTCTGCCGGGAGCGGTAGTTGCACCTGCCCTTCTCGGCCGTGCCTGTCACCCCGAGCGCGTCCACGCGGCAGGACGTCTCACTTCCCCCGCTCCTCTTCCTGCCTGCAGCTGGAGAGCAAGCCCGACCTTTCTGCCCGTGCACAGTCGGGGGAACAGATTTATATCATTCTAATTTTATTGTATTTGCCAGCGCTGCAATCCAATTACAAGCCCTTTAGGCAAGCCGCACATCTCCCCTTTCTCCCCCCCCCCCCCCCCCCCCCCCCCCTCCCCCCCCTTCTTTCA